TGCATATAATGTAGTACAATATATCTATAAATGCATTGTTCTTAAGGGGAGCTTGACTTTATACTTCACTTTAAATGATTTAGCTGTTGTTTAAACATTTGAATTTCATTTAAACAGAATATTGCATTATAAAAATCTATAAATTTAATTTGTCAAACTCCATCCTAAACACCTGCTGCTTTAACGGTAAAAGACTGTAAAAATGCTACAGTAAAAACCTGTTAAATGATTAACGGTAAATTCCCCTACTATATATGGTGAAAAACTGTATTGGACATTACATGTATTGTTTTACGGTAGTATACCGTTTTTGTAAGGGGAAAAGATCGTATAATTTACAGTGAATAACCGTAAATTGACATTCCCTGAATTCCCTGCGTTACATTTCAAATTTGATGTTTTTTTGTTCTTCTTAGTTTTTTCTTATCAGTTTTGTATATTCGGGTTGTATGTTACACCTAATGTTGTTAAAAGAATGTTTATTGCATTATTTCAGTTTCATGTGTGTTACCATGATGGTGTTTAGTGTTTGTGTGAATGAAACTGTGCACCTTCTATATATGTTATTATTTAAAAGCTGCTTGTGATGGGCTTTGGTTCATCATGTGACTTTCTCATCACCACCTGCATTTGGTGGTTATCAGTGTATTACAAAGGTACAAAACAAATTTCAGTACTTCAATAGGTTGGTATATTAACATTATTTCAGTTATAGAAATTACAGTATTTAACTGTAAATGTAAGTTAAAACCGTAAAACCTAAAATGTTGCTACCATATTTTTTACGGTAAAATTCCGGCCGTTTTTTTACCGTAAATTTTATGAATTTTTTTTTACAGTGTGTCAGAAATATTAATTTACACTGTTTAAGACTGCAGCCATGGGAAACCAATAAAATGCTACCTCCAAACCTGTAATTCAACAAACCATGACTCTTATGGGAAAGACAAACAGAAACACGGCAGCTGTTCAAACAAATGCATAGTAAAGTACACAATGACGTTTGACATGTGACAATTGTATCATGAGATCACAAAGAGTGAAAAGCCGTCTCTTGACATTTCTGGAGGCCAACCTCATAGACTATTCCTAAACCTTTCATAAACTATTCCATTATGAAATAATCCTTTTGGACATGCAATAGTGTCCATAGAGAGAATATATTCAGTGAATATGGTATATAAACACACTGTCAGATTCTCTCGCACTAATGACTGTCTCTCTTCTCTCATTACAGATTCAGGTCTGTCTTCAGCTACTGTAGCAGGAATATGTGCTGCTGTTCTGCTGCTGGTGTCTGTTGTAGCTGCTGCTGGTGGGATTTACTATCGCCGCAGGAGCTCCAGAAATGGTGAGTATTACATGCAGATCCTATAGTGAGAAGGAAACATCATGTGCTTTATGCAAAATTATTATTTGGCTCTCTGGAATACTTGATTGGTCAGTTGCGACATTATGTCAAATATTTCCTGATAATGACCTTCATCATTAAATTGTGTACGTGTGTGATTCCCCCCC